CAATTTCTAGTTTTCGTGATCTCTGGAAAACATAGCCTAAGCGTTTCTTCATCGAACAAGGAAAATGGTTAGTAGCCGCTTCCAGTGTTAAATCTCCAATCAGTTGTAATTATTTGATCTTGTCATTTCCTTATAGGTTCATGAACTTTTCTTTGAAATTGTTCGAGAAAAACAACACGTGTTCTGTGATGCAAAGGATTCCGCTCCTGTGCTTGAACTCAAAAGGATTATTGAGGGCGTTTTAAAGGTACCCTGAATCAACTAATGTTGTCATGGCAAGAATTTCTTCGGATCACATTAGCTTTTTGTAGTACTTTAATTCTTATCTTTCTTTATGTATCATAAGTTTTCCTCTGAACTGAGTTGCAGATAAAACTAGATTCTTCGACACTTCATTTTTGTTAACAATCTACCCATTTTTTCTTTATTACTTAATTTTTAGATCCCAGTAACTGATCAAGTCCTTGTTCGTTTATTGGATGACACTACGACCAATTTTCAACCTCTTGATGATAAGAAAACATTAGCGGAGAGTGGGTTTAACGTCAATAATGCAAAGGTATGTTTTTTGAGAATGTTCTCTCGCGATCGAAATTTAGGTTATTCACTTTCTTCCCTTCATGATTTATCTGATTTGTAATTACGAATCAGATATCTGTAGGCAGTTCTCTTCATTTGAATACACCATGCTGCTGCTTAGGCTCAAACTCCAGCAATGGTAGCATTAATGATGAGAGGAGAGTCAACACCGATCATTAGTGAATTATCAACACCTCCACCTGTTCCCGACGCCATGCGCAACGAACCTCATTCTCAGGAGTAAATTGAAGAGTAATGCTTCAAAATTGTATTGATTGAATTTTTGAAATTTTATTTCTGTATTGGGTTTTGCTTTGCTTTCATCGGTGATGTCTGTGTAGGTGCTGTTTTAAACTAACAGTCATAGCTATGGAAGGCTTTGGCAGACATACATAGATACTCGTTAAAATTATATTTGAAAATGCTTGAAATTGTGATAAAATTGGACTTGTTGCGTTGTTTCCTTGCTGATAAGGCAGTAGCCTTGTTTTATTTCAAAGTCTTGCATTCTCACAAATTTGGGTTCGTCATCTTTTTTGAAGAGTCGTAGTCATAGGGTCGGAGTCGGAACGTTCAAAGTGTGCTGGCGATGTCATCTGGTGATTTATCCCATACTACTGATGCCTTTGCTCGACGTTTCACTATACTCTTAGCAGTTCCTCAGCTGATTTTCTGAAACTCCCAAAACGACAACGCATTCAACGTCAGTATGATCTCGGTACTCTTGGTCCTGTGACTGAGTTTGTCGGTACAGCTGAAGAGGTTTGTCAGTGTCAGTTGATCACTTTTTGTTCATTTGTAATTTAATACATTTGCATGTTCAGTCTTTTCTTGGTGAGAGCTCGTCATCTGCTGCATGATACTGGCTGGAGCGAAGGACTGCTTCAAAACATGGAAGACGAGACAGGTCTTTTCTTGATTTCATTCCATCCTATTTTTTGACTCGAATTGAATTTTAACACAAAAACGACCTAAAGAAATATACGCGGTGGAAATGCTTTTGATGGTAAATCCACTTTTTAGATGCCCGAGAAAGAGCGGACTTCCTTAGTGTGATGTCACGGTATATAGATCTGTATGCGCATCCAGCTCCGAAACATTACGCTTATAGAGTTGGTAAATTTTTGAATTATTTTCGAAGTATTATCTTAGGAGATACATTCAGACAGTCTATTTGGCACATGCCGTCAATCATGTTATACGAACCAGAAATCTTGTCATATCAAATAGTCGAAAGTTGTCTTCAACCGCTGCTAAGGTCAGTGATTTGACTTCTGTGTTCTTTTTTACCGATATCATGATAGTTAGAATCTAAATGCAATGGCTACCTTTTTTATACGTTCTTTTGGCTCTGATATTGCTGAAATGGTTTACGTTTTGAGCCAATTCATATATTCATATTCAACCTAAACCGTTTTATTAGTGCGAATCAACTTTTAGCTGGTAAACGTTTTTCATGAACACTGCCATGCCAAACTTTTCAGGGCGAAGCTACCGAGGATCTAATAGAAGCTTCACGAGATCAGGGCTTTGTTAGGCCAACCGTGCTTATCCTCTGTCCTTTCAAAAAGGATGCGTACGATATCGTGGAGAGACTTGAGCGGTTGATTTTTGGAAAAAGTGCGAATTCTGAAATTTGGTTTGCCTCTACCTCTCCGTCTTTTTTCTCTCACTGTTTCGCTTTAGACAAAGTCTCCACATGGAGTAGAGATCGGTTCCATACTGAGTTCAAAAGTGAACCTGCTCCCACTTTCAAAACGAGGATATGTGAGGAATATAAAGTGTGTATATTAAATTGCCGATCTTTTCACGTCTGAGTAAACTCATTTTAAGGAGCTGATTACGGGTAACAACGACGACTGCTTTCGTGTTGGTATAGCAATTTCCAAAAAAGTTTTAAAACTATTCGAGGCGTTCGATAAGGTTTGTTTTTCATAGCTTCTCCAACATGAAGAAATTTTCTATTTTCAGTCGGACATCATTCTTTGTTCGCTCTGGTTACGCATGATTCTAGACGGTGATGCTGGAAGGGAAAGTCATCTTATTTCCAATATTCAAATAGCTGTGGTTGATAAGGTGACTTGCTTTTTATCCGTTATTTAATCCTTCCTTCCACGCTACGATGTAGGAGCTTCATACATCCTATTCAGATAGAATCATTTAGGCTGACATCATGTTACAGCAAAACTGGGAAGCATCTCGCTATCATTTTCTCTCACATGCATACAAAACCATCCAAAATTGAAACAGATATTTCGAGAGTTCGCCAGTGCTATATAGGTATTTGTCATGTTCTCGTGAAGTTTTGTATGCCGAAACATAACTCGAAAGCTTGTCGTTTATTCTAGGCGAAAATGTTCTTGTTTTAGAGGGTTTGTCAAAGTATTACTGCCAGCTGCTGTTGTTTTCGCGTTATGAACATGAACTCTTTTCTGCTCTAGTCTTGGAACATTCGTTGAATTACAATGGGCTGATAATTCCGAGTGCTTCGTTGCGATGGTACTCTTGACAAGGTAGGTTCCCTTATTGTGCCTTCTTCCTTCAAGATTAACACATGTCAAGCAGCGTGGCGCGGTCGTGCGTCCGTTTTGCAGTCCATCGAACGTTGTGGCGCTGTTTGCGCGCCCTACCCATATATTCCTTATCGCAATGCGCGGTTTATTCTCAGGTCTTTGCATCAATTCTATCTATCACACCGTAACATTTCTATAAGGGCTAGTTAGCAATACTGTCTAATATGCATCAATTCAGCAGGGTCATCCAGGCCGTACGAAATTTCCAGCCTGATTCATTTCTCGTTGGTTTTATTCTTATGAATGTATATAGGTACCAAGGGTAGCAGAGGTAATGCAAACCTGCATTACTCTCTGCTACCCTTGGTCAATCAATCGGGTAGCAAATAATGTTTTTATTGGAACAACGAGCTCAACCAGCTTCCAAAGTTCTATACAGCGAGTGTTGCTCTCATTTTTTCATTACACTTTCTTCTGATTGGATTTTTTCTTCTATACTTCCGAGTAGCTTCATCGCATTGGACACTGCTGAAATGACTTCGTCCCATGCATGGGTATCCTACCTCCCACAGAGGGGACGCGTCCCCTGTCGCTCATCCTATCCTATCGTTGGGGGAGGCCTTGCGTCATAGGACCTGCCATACTCTGCTTTTCTAGATTTCAAACAGCGACGCAACAGTGTCTCCGCCAAGCTCACGATAGGACGCACTCATAATCGGTCTTCCGATCGTAAGGCTGTGTCAGAGTCCGCGATCCGTCGCAGGTTTCGCTGATTTTCGCGATTTGCGCGATTCACGCGATTTTCGATTTGCGCGATTTTCGCGATTTGCGCGAAACCTGCGACGGATCGCAAAAATTGCAAGTGCCCCATTTGAACATTTGAAACACTGAATATGAAACAAGTGGAATCATGAGCAGTCGTCATTCAGCCATCACTATCAAGCAGAAGTGGCGGCAGGATTGGAGAACCTTGCAGTATTGATCGGGCACTTGTGATTTCCGTGACCCGTCGCGTGAATCGCGTGAATCGCGTGAATCGCGTGAATCACGCAAATCAGCGAAACCTGCGAACGTGGACTCTGAGGCATTGTTCACACATTGCGCCACGCTCGAACGAACGAATCTGCGCAAATGCGAAATGAATGAAATGCGTATCGATCCACAAAATGGGAGGAGCTTCGAATCGCGCATTGGAATCTGCGAATCCTTTTAAAAGAAATGGGTGTCTATCGATCGAGTCAATCGGAGATCGCAGCGCGAAACGGCGGTGCGAAAATCCTCCAGCAACGCTAATAGGGCGTGGTTTACTACGTCGATACGTATCTAAACCTTTTCGCATCCGCGTTCGCGCGTGTGGAAATTCTCCTGGTCGATACGTATCTTTTTCTTTTCGCAGAATTCGAATATTCGGATGATTCGAAAACTGTGAACAATGCCTAACACCGGCCTAACGATCACGCAATTGTGGTCGCATAAAGAAGTCGGCGGCGTGTCCCAATGCAAACCCTGATAACACACGACTGTGCGTCACGGGGCTCGAAAGACTGTTCGATTGTGGAGCAGTAGATGCGCCTCGATCGTGTGAAACATATCGACATACACATAGTCGGTGTAACGATCGTTACAATCGTTACGACCGACTATGCATGCATACCGAATCAGCAGAGGGGCCCGCGTCTTCTTGGGGGAAGGACAGGATACGGCTCCATGTTGAATTCTACCCGAAGAACCCGCGAAGCCTTGTCCCGTCCAAATCGCCGCGCGTGCCGCCGCGCAACTTGCCGCGTGCCAGTCCGGACGAGCCAAAAGTCCCGCACCCATGTTTCGCATAGTTATCACTCAAAATTCACTGATGTGAGGTGGGTTGGCTGCGCCGGCAAAATGGCACATGCCCTACACTATTAAGAGTGCCGAAACATTCCATTTGTACAATTTCTTTCATTGAATATCGGTCTAGTTCTTCTTTGCTAAGTCGTTGCAGATTGAAATCCCCTTGTGCCAGGAGCTACGGCGTTTCAAAGTGACTGACCCATCAGAGCAAGCCCTTTCAAGGTTCAATTGCTTCAAGGAATATGTATGTGTTTCATTGAACTAATAGCAGTTCTCATGTGTACAGTTTTTTTTTTCTATTGCATTATAGTGCGCTGCCAGCTTGTTACCCGGTACATGTGTAGTAATTCCGTCTTACTTTGACTTTGTTCGGGTGAGAAACCATTTCAAGCGATCCGAAGAAAGTTTTGTGGCATGTCATGAATACGCACCGAAAACTAAGGTAAAGTATGCTATATGGTTGAAATTTACATCGTTTTTTGCCCAAAGTGAACCCATTTATACCTTGTGAGAGCTTTCGTTTCAGATTCTTAGGGCGCGAGATCTTTTCTATCATAAACACAAAAAGGTGCTTTTGGTCACTGAACGATATTATTTCTTTAACAGGAAAGCTTTGAAGGTATGTTGCGTGCACTTCCGGCTATGAATGCTTCATTTTTATTGCTATTAATATTTTTACTTGATTGTCTGTAGTCATTTGCCTTTCTTTCTGCCTAGTAGATTCTCTGGATTTGTTGAGTAACTTGGCTAATTTGGATGTTTCTGGAAGCCCACATCCTCAGCACATTTTGATATATGAAACCCCTATATATTCTGGTATGGGGCTCGCAGGTGGGCAAGAAAGGTAGCTACTTCCAGAACAGCATCATTCCTCTATCACCAAAATCAGAAAATCATCAGACAAAACAAACGGGGATAATTTAAACCTTATACATACTTTGACTTCAAGACTCAGTTCTTTACTGTCTCTGTGGTCTTTGCGAATTTTGTCACTGTCGTTGCTATATACATTATGTAAGCCAGAGGTTCGGGTACTCGGTGTTTGACTGCCTGTGTTTTGATTTGTATTGACTTGTTTTTTTTTTACCTTTCTCATAATCGTTCGTTTATTACCTAAAGCTGAGAACAGTTGGAGGGGAGAAGTTGGATAGGTGAAGGGCTCCATTGTCCAATAAGGTCGGTATCAGACTGTGCGAGTCGAGCGATTCGCAAATTCAATATGAACGCTGAAACCTAGTTCATGACCTATTGATCATTTGGTATATGCTTTGATCCTAGAAGACCAAAATTGCGAAGTGTAATGTTGTCGATGCTTCATCGTTATTATAATAGTTATTGAGTAAAGTTCAGATATTTGAATTGGATCGCATCTCTGCGTAACCAGTTCCGATTAACTTATGAGCAACTCCATCTGTTAAAGCCCACCGTGTGACGTGCGCAACCTGGAACTGGAAACCCTTAAACCAGCTGCATTACGCCCAGCGTTGGCGGGCACCAAAGTATCCCCGCGAATCTCTTCCATTGTCTCTGCGTTCTAGAAAGGGTAAAACTGGTTCCAAAACTTCTTTGACCGGCTGCGCATCACGAGAGGCATTCTGCGTCATCAAATACAGTCGCTACCTTGCCTTTGTGAAAGCAGCTTATCTCAATAATTTCTACCTGTCTGGCCTTCACTGCGTGATTTTGGTATATTGGTTCGTCTTTTTGGCAATATTTCTTCTCTTCTCTTCTCTTTTGTACTGTATAAAATACTGTTGCGATACAAGGGATGTAGGATGGTAATGACGCATTGTTTAGTTAAATGTCTATGATAATGGTAGCGTAAAGGTAAAGCAGTATGGAGTTTTTGGACCGAAAAAGACTACTTGCTCTTCCAATGCTCTTTATTTTTGGCGCTCCAGAACAAGCGCCAAAAATAGAGAACATTGGGAAAGTAAAGCGCTTATGAACTGTAGGGGATTCAAAACAATCAAGTAGATTGAGACTGCAGAGCAAGGTTCTTAAGAAGGGTGTTACCTCAAATTTGCTGTTAATTCAGTGATGATTCTTGGTTATTCTTTGTTAACTAATCCACTCGAATCTATTAGGTTGTCCCATAATTAGTGAATCACTTTACATTTATTGTTATTAAAAATCCAAGAAAAATGGTGAAGGCGTGAAACATGTTTTGCGAAGTAGCATCCACATTATCCTACCTGAGCAATTACTCAGCCCATTTACATGCTGCCTTCCGTGGCTGATATTTCAATTTTTCTGGAACCTATTTTTGAGCTCCCTTCTTAATCACTTCTGATTAGGATCTTTCAAACGCCCAACAACATAGAGAATCAACCAGCAGATAGGCGAGGGCACGCTCCCTCAATCCACGGTCTACTTATGGTT